CAGTTCAAAGTATGAGAGCAGTTAACTATCACTGTGAACCAGAAGGACACACAAATGTGGAGATAAACAAGTGAATTTCAAAAAAAAAAAAAAAATTAATGCACAAGTTATCATTAAAACTCTCATTATTCACTGTAATCTAGCGAGCAAAAAACACTTCATGATGGGACGTAATTGGCCCAGATATAAAAGTCAACAAAATATTTCATGAGGGAACTGCCTTCCCAGAATTATAGCTCTTCTGGGGCCAAAATCTAATTAACAAGAACTGAGCAGAGCTATTCCAACTATCGAAGGCAAGCGGCAAAAATTACAGTGGTAATACTTGACCAAACAAATCCCTTTTCAACATTACTTAAAGGTGTCTCTTGAAACGAGATTTTCATCTCCTCAACTCCAAAACATTTTCTATTCAAACAGGGGAAGATACCTATGCAATGAAATTTAAGAGCCGCAATAATTATGCGCCAAAATAGCAACCTTCCTAACAAGGACGCTAGTTTAGATAGCTTACTAACATTCATAGCAATAACCAACAGACAGACCAAGTCTACAAATTCATCTTCTGAAGGTGATCAACGGAAAGAAAAACAACCAAGCAGGAAAAAAGATAAGAAACAAATAGATACTAACTGACAGACCAAATAAATTGGAATTATTGAAGTCCAACTCGACATGCTGCAAATCTGAAACAAACAAACAGCTGGAGAAACTCAGCAGGACTGGCAGCATCTATGGAGAGAAAGCAGAGTCAATGTTTCAGGTCTAGTGGCCCTTTCTCTGAAAGGGACACCACAAATCTGACCATTTTACCCAGCAGCAATTGATCGTCTCCTACATTCACTTACCTATCATTTTTATCGGGTTCCAGAAGCACAGCTTTTTGAGAATACCAATTGCCAAGTGCAGGTGAATTTCCACATACCGCAAACACTTCACCTAAGGTACAAAGGGGGGGAAAATATCAACTTAAAAAAGAACGGTAGTCACGCACACAAAACATTAATAGGTCAAATACACAAATATCAATTTTGTAAGAAGTAGTCTTTTTGTAAACTTAGATGCTTATTATCTGAATAACTCATTAGCCAAGTTACAATTGATTGGTTTATGCTATGTTTGGTCAAGTTAAACTAATCACACTATAAAAGCGCATCTAATCCAAGACTGCAATTAACAAACAATTACATGAAAGAACTGCATAAAATTATTGATTTCCCATTTATTTCTGTATTATTACAACTAATGCCATTAAAGAAACAATTACAAAAGAACAAACAGCACCTGAGCAGCCCCAGAAAGAAACCATTTACTTAGTACTTTCATCGCTCCCCAGGGTCAGGCAGTCCTGTGTATGTCACTACCTATCCCTAAAGGGACAACTTAAAACATGGCACTGCGCGAACAAATCCCTATCCCTTTGGATTAGTACGATGTCAAATAGCAATTGTTTGCATAGTTGTGTCTCAAGATGTTGAATGAGAGTGAACTTTGTAAATTCCAACATGACTATCAATTTCTTAGCTAAATGATGGTGAAATAGCAATTTAATGATCATCTGAAATTCCATAATAACCCAAAGTCTCCCATGCTTTCACTTCTTTGACTCGAGGTAATTACATCAAAACCCAGAATTTCCAAGCGATTTTTCTTCTATAATCCAACAAATTACACCTATATTTAAGTTGCTCAACAAATATTTTGGTCACGTTTTAAACTGCTCCAGAAAATTTCCTTCAGGTTTAAACTCTAAAGAACAAATAACTTGGCACCTTTTAAGGAGAAGCCAGAATCTCTTCGCAGCTCTCTCTAATGCCAACTTTTTTTTGCATTCTAACAAAAGCTGGAGTTCATCATACAAAAAGACATTCTGTTGAACATTGGGAGTTTATTTTAAGCTAATTATTGAGCACTGCAAAACCAAAAGAATGCTACTGATCTGCAGGAGACAGTTACTCAAGAACAAACAAGAATCAGTAAGCCATCAGGGCGGATGGGGCATTGTAAAAAGAACTAAAATTCTTCCTGCAAGGACACCATTGACTGTATATAGATCAATAGTAGAGTTTTAAATGCATGAGACATTATACTTAAAACATAATGTGTTAATTATCTTACAAACTTTTTGATGTAGAGGATACCATGTTAGGAATACATTAAACCAAAAGTTTAAAATTATTTTAAAAACTTAAAACATATTCAATTTTTCCAGCAACTGGAAATTCAACATTGAGAGGCTATGTGGCATAACTTGGCTAAATAGAGATGGTGATTAAAGAAAATTTCTTTGACATTATTTACTCAGTCCCAATTTTTTTGCTATTTTAAAAAAATCAAATATACATTTCATAAGATATTCATGAAAGCACACCAGTCATCAAATTTTATTTGTGTGAAGACTACTCCAATTGGTTATGCTTATTGATTGAGCAACTGACGCAGCAGCAATTTGGCCTGTTAATAATCAAATGCATTTAATTCAGTTACTTCATACAACTGCTGCCATCATTAAACATTCACATTTGCAATGCACAATTTAAAATTCGACCCGTAAACAGAAATAAAAGATGAAGTACCATTGTTTAGACTCAACAGGAATTTAATTTAACAAGAATCACACCCTTAGACAAAATGGGCATTTTAGCATGATCAATCCAGCTAAACTACACATCTTTGGACCGGGAGGAAACCAATATAGACATGGGGAGAACGTGCAAGTTCCATATAGCTAGTTGCCCAAGGGAGCAATCGAACACAGGTCTCTGGCACTGTGAGGCAGCAGTGATCACTGAGCCACCATGCCTCCCTGGCATTTGGTAACGTTAACACAAAAGTACTGGCATAGGCAATCATGATTTATTGGATAGTAAATAAAGAAAATATTCATGCATCTATTAAAACAAGGTGGAAAATAATAATAAATGGCCATACCCAAGCAAAGGGGAAAAGCAACTTTTATTATTTAAAAGAAGAGGTTGACTAAAAATTCCATAGGACAAATAATTGGCCTGTACCAGATTGTGCAGGGGAACAAATTACCAGTATATATCACCACCCAACAAAACTCTGTTGCATAACTGCCCTCCACACAAACTTGTCATACTAACTCAAGACTAAACTAGTTACAAAGGCATGTTGGGCACAAAACAAATAAATGCTGCCTAAAACCACATGAGAAATTCTTGAATATGGCATATATTCCCTTTGTGATGGAGGTCTATATTGCCAATTACAATTTCATTCACTAGTTGTGTAGTTCTTTTACTTCTGCAAAGTTGCTGTACAATACTCGCAACATTATTTTTTGTAGAATACCTGGAAGTGTAACTCCCTTTATTTTGAAAGTGACCTGTGAAGTGAACATGCTTGCCAACGTTGAAGCTCTTACTGAATGGCTGACGTTATCTAGAGTAAAACACACGAATTAACTGAATTGTTACAACAGTATTAAACTAACAAATGGAAAAACCGCACACTCTGCCGTGACAAATACAAATGAACTATGGCCGTCATTTACATACCCATAAAAAAGTACTCGAACCCAACATATGTTATGATAAAATCCTCTACTGACACATCCAAAGTCTGTCCCAATTTGCCACAGCATTGAACTTTGCTCTCAGCTGTGTTGCTGGTAGAGGTGTCTGACAAGAGTAAAATTTCTTCCACAGGAAGCCACATTCATACAAAGCGTAGCAGTAGCTTAAGTGATGCTGCTGGGTTTAAAAGCAGGTCAGCAAGATCTTTTATAGCATGCTCTCTAATCAAGCAATGCAATACTAGTTAATTGACAATTTATCTTTCTCAAATCAAGAAATAGCACACCCACTGTTCAAAACGTCCACAATTTTTGAAGAATTAAACTTTAGAAGTTCTGATACTTCACCTCAGCAAGCATGTAAAAGAAAACCTCCATGCAACTTCTGCAACAGCAGCAAAACTGTAACAGCCTTTACAAGTCCCAGCAGTCAGTGCATTGACTCAAACTTTTGGAGATACTTACGAAGCAATTCAAGCTTTTAGGTTATTACAGCTGAGGAAATAAAACTTCAAATTTGCTATGTAACCACAATCTGTGTGAAGTTGCGATTCAAACTGCGGTAAAGTACCACCACCTGCACAAAAGATAATGTATTGTAATGTCATTGCCAATATGAGGTTGGCAGATATGGAAGTACTGAATCTGCATTTGGGCACTGTAACGCAAATGGCAGTGACCTGAGAGGTATTTGTCTTTCCATACTTGCATTTCCATGCCATTGCAATAGTTTTTGAGCTTTCAGATTACAGCAGACCAGGGCTTCCCAAACTATGGGCTACAAACCCAATGAAATTTTGGGGTTATGAACGCCGAAGCAGCAACAACCCCTTCAGAGTTTGGATTCGATGCTGAATGGTTGTAAGACCATTTTAATTCCTGTTTTTCCAACGGTGGACACAACCCAGAGATCTTTGAGGTGTGACTGACTGTGAAAAGGCAAGTGCTTGCTTCTTTTAATATTTAAAAATATAGCAGTTTAACCAACTCCCACCATGCTGAACATTTGCTCTCACTCAGGAGAGAGCCCCACGCCTGGAGCTGAAACAAAGCCTGGGGCATTAAAATTTTGTCACTCTAAGAAAACAGAGTTGTAGTAAATCACTGCAAACAAGTTGCCACAATGGTATCATGATACCAAAGATCATGCTTTTGCATATTCTTAGTAAACAGGTCTATTGCACTTTTCAACTAATGTAATCCTTGCATTTCACCCCAGAATTCTGTGTATTACTCATTTAACATCATAAGTCATGACTTAAGATCTAATAGGTGATGTGGGTTGTGAAGATGATATTCAGGAGATTAATATACACCCTCAGAATACATTGCACACAGCAAGTGGAAAACAGAAATAGGTTGCCCAGTGAAAAGAATCACAGGAGAAGTCATACAGTAACTATTCTGTCAAGTAACTGCTCCATCAACTGCTCGTGAAAACCTGGTACATGACTGAAAGAAAACAAATATACTCTGAAGATGAGATCAAAAGGAGAAGGGACCAGTCAGAGTCTTGATGTCCTCAACAACAGATTCACTTCAGGAACTTGACTATCCTTGACTTGAACAAAAGTACCAATTTTACAATCAGAATTTACTGATGACACAACAATGGGTATGAAGCCAAGTTGTCAAGAGGACGTAACCTGTTGAAATTCCTTTTTTTTTTAAAACACTCTAAGTGAGTGGACAAAAAGAAACCGTAGGATGAAGTATAAATAAGAAAATTTGAACTTGTCCACTTTGGCAGGAAGTCTAAATAAACGATACATTATTTGAATGGCAAGAATTCTATACTAGGAGGGATCTGGTGTCCTGGTACATGAATCATAAAAGGCTTTTCTTTATTCACTTGTGGGCATCGCTGGCCAGTATTTATTGCCCGTCCCTAATTATACTTGAGAAGGTGGTGATGGACTGTCTTCATGAACAGTTGTAGTCCATGTGGTGTAGGTGGACTCAATCCCTCACAGGGAGGGAATTCCAGGATTTTGACCCAGAAACAGCGAAAGAACAGTGATATATTTCCAAGTCAGGATGGCGAGTAGCTTGGAAGGAAACTTGCAGGCTATGATGTTCCATTTAGAAGGACGAGGGCAGGAGACACGTGGGAAGTAGTCGTGGGCATGGAAGGTGCTTTTTAAGGATCTTCAGTGAATTCCTGCAGTGCATCTTGTAGATACAATGCACTGTTGCTACTGAGCAGTGGTGGAAGGAGTGGATGCTTGCGGGTGTGGTGCCACTCAAATGGGCTGCTTTGTCCTGGATGGCATTAAGTTCCATGAGTGTTGTTGGAATTACACTCATCCAGGCCAGTGGGGAATATTCCATCACACTCCTGACTTGTGCCTTGTAGATGGCGAATAGGCTTTGGGCAATCAGGTGGTGAGTACCTCACTGTAGCATTTCTAGTATGACCTGTTCTTGTAGCCAGAAGGTATATCTGTAGTAGGTGATTTAGGAAAGCAAAAGGTATTATGGTGAGGATGAAATATAAAAGCAGAAAAATCTTGCTACAATTGTACACAGCCTTTGACCAGGCTACATCTGGAGTGGTGTACGTAATTCTGGTCTCCTTGCTTAAAACATAGTTGTATTTAAAGCAATTTAGAGACAAAATTTTATTGAAAGATGGATGAAGACTTAACAAGGTAAATACTGAGAGGATGCTTACCCTCATAGGGAAGTTTAGATCTAATTGACACAGTTTAAAAATCCAGGATTTACCATTTAAAAGTGCAGTCATGATTTGTTTTTCCTCTCTCAAGAGATCTGCAAGTCTGTGTAATTCATAGATTATATCCAAAGGAGTTATGGGGAACGGACAGCGATGTAGAGTTGATGACATAATCAGATTAGCTACATGCTATCTAATTGTAGAACAGACTCAGGGGATCAAATGGCCTACAACAGCTCACAACTGTTGTGCTTTTAAGAGATGCTTTCGAATGAGCCCTCAACATAGATGGAATTAGCACAAATGCCATGTATATATAAACACCACACTAAACCTTCAACCCAGCAAAGATTTTAGATCAACAGTTCTTTTGTGTATCCCCATTTTGGACTGAACCATTCGCAACATTAATTTCAAGAAATAGCTTTGTTTTACATTTCAAAGTGTTGACTGCCGAATCTAATGTGTGGTTCACATTGTTCACTTGGCTTGGTGCATGTGCTGACCCCCAATTTTGGCTGCATTTTTGGAGGCTTTAAAGGTTACGACATGCAAGTTGACCTATGTATTTTTGAAAAATTATTTTATTCAGTTCACCAGCAGCAACAACCCAACTAAAATTATACCTGCAAGTAGTCAAAAGATAATGTTATCACAGGAATTTATTACTTTTGTATATACATTAACAAAGTTCTCAAAAAATTAAATTGCAGCCTCAAATCTGGCAACTTTGCGTTGTAATTGAGTCACTATTCACTGTTAATCCCAACAGTGATTCCAACATGATGGAGAAAGACTGCAAACTTTGAATGTACTCATGCCTGTTGTCCACTGCATGGTGATGGATCATGTTATTGACATATCATCAGAACAATTCATGGCTGAGATGCTATAATTCCAACTTTTAACAATAATTTAAGTTCCAACCAAATTGCTGAGTAACCACAGAAAAATGCCATCATCTTGCTCAGTGTGGAGCTGGAGGAGCACAGCCGGCCAGGCAGCAGAGGAGCAGGAAAGCTGACGTTTCGGGTCGGGACCCTTCTTCAGAAATGGGGGAGGGGGAAGGGAGCTCTGAAATAAATAGAGAGAGGAGGGGTGGGGCTGGGGAAGGTAGGTGAGTGGAGTGGAACACCCCATCTTGGGAGCAGACGCGGCAGAGGCGGAGGAATTGGGAGTAGGGGATTGCATTCTTGCGGGAAGGTGGCCAAGAGGAGGTGTAGTCTAGGTAGCTGTGGGAATTGGTGGGCTTGAAATAGATATCAGTTTTGAGATGGTCACCAGAGATGGAGACAGAGAGTCCAGATAGGAGAGAGAAGTATCAGAGATGGTCCAGGTGAACTTGAGGTTGGGGTGACAGATGTCCTCTTATCTCAAGGACCACTCCCGAACATCCCAGATGTCCTTTTATTTAAAGGTGCGCAACATCCCCCCTTCAGTGGTCGAAAATGCTCTCGATCGCATCTCTTGCATTTCCTGCACCTCTGCCCCCACATCGCTCCCCGCAACAAAAACAAAGATAGGATCCCCCTTGTCCTCACATATCAACCCACTACCTCCGGAGACAACCTATCATTCTCTGCCACTTCTACCACCTGCAATCTGACCCCATTACCAAGGATATATATCCCCCCACACTCCTATCTGCCTTCCGTAGGGACCACTCTCTCTGCGACTCCCTCGTTCGCTCCACACTCCCCACTAGCCCCACCACCCCCAGCACCTTTCCCTGCAACCACAGGAAGTGTTGCACCTGCCCCTACATCTCCCCTCTCACGTCCATCCAAGGACCCAACAAAACCTTCCACATCAGACAGATGTTCACCTGCACATCCGCTAATGTGGTCTACTGCATCTACTGCTCCCGACGTGGCCTCCTCTACATTGGTGAGACCAAGCAGAGACCTCTCTGAAGAGCACATGCTCTGTTCGTGACAAACACCTCCAGTCACAAACCACTTCAACTCCCCCTCCCATTCCCTGGACGACATGTCCATCCTGGGCCTCCCTCAGAGTCATAACTACACCACCTGGAAATTGGAGGAGCAGCACCTCATATTCCACCTTGGCAGCCTACGACCCAATAGTCTCAATGTGGACTTTACTAGCTTCAAAATCTCCCCACCCCCAGCCTCATCCCATGACCAACCCTCCCTCTCATCCCCGCCTCCTTGACCTGCCCATCATCTCTCCCACCTATCCACCCATCCCACCTCCCTGACCAATCCCCACCACTGCCTACCTGCAGTCACCTATCGCCATCCCACTTATGTTCCCCAGCCCCACCCCTCCTCCCTCTATTTATTTTAGAGCTCCCTTCCCCCTCCCCCATTTCTGAAGAAGGGGCTTGACCCAAAAATGTCAGCTTTCCTGCTCCTCTGATGCTGCCTGGCCAGCTGTGCTCCTCCAGCTCCACACTGTGTTATCTCAGACTCCAGCACTGGCAGTTCTTACTATCTCTGATGATCTTGCCCAGATTAGGCAATTAACCTACTGACTATGAATGTAGTGCAGATTTAAGTTTGCTGCTGTAGTCAAAGCGTAACTACTTGAGTGCAGTATTGACAAAAGGCCCAAACTGCATGACAGGACAGGGCCAAGTTACTTTACTTTTGCCCACTAAAGGATAAGGAACAATCACTGTTCATTTGCCATTCCATTTCAACATCCCTCATAATCACTGATGGAGCTAAAAGACCTGGAGGTAAGGGATGCAAAGTTGATCTAAACATTTACAAAGATTTGAAACATAACTTTGGTTGGAGGAGTTCAAGGACATGTGTAAACAACCATGCAGAAATCACTCATTTGGCAGATGAAGTTTCAGCCAAGCAATATAAACCGGGTACTGCTTGGCTGAAACACCAATAGTTGCAGTCTAACTGGAGACTAATGAAACAAAATATTCTTTGCAATTATGTAACATATATAAACATTTAGCACTTACTGCACACAGATGGACCTCTGCAACATCATGCTGGTTTGTTGTCTCCGCTTATTGCTCTTAAAACTCCAGGCCTATGTTAATAATAAAGTAAATTACAATATTTAAAACTAATATCAAATGTGGTATTAATATTACATACTTCACAGTAGCATTAGATTTTGTTAAAGACATTGAACCAGGTTTACATCGCACTTAACGATGCAAAGCAGTGTGGTATCTGCTCATTGATGCAAATAAAAGCTCATTCGTAAATATGACTGCGATGTAAGAGGTGATTTTTAAATTAATAATTTATTCAGAAAATGAATTTTAAATATTACATTTTGAATTAGTACTATGTGGGTTTTGGTCTGCATGAGGGGGTTTAATCATCAACTTTTAAAATTTTTTTTTAAAAAAAGCCATTGTAAAAGTGAGTTCCTGGGTCATAATGGGAATGCGCTTGTACTGGGGGCTTTATGAGCAAATACAGTAAATATTGAGAAGCATTAGCTTGTTTTCAGGTTAAAAGCATCAAGTTTTTTTGAGCTTAGTGGAAAAATACATTGCTTGGAAAATTTTTGCATTCAATTCATAGAGATCCAAGTGGAAGTTAGAGATGTGAAATAGGTTTTCCCCAAAGAAAGGAGACAGTTTAGAACTTAGGTTACCTCCGTGTAAGGATTTTAGTTAAAACATTCCAGACCAGAAGTGTTTGGTTAGAATTCTGAATGGTTTATTCAAAGCTAGTTCAAAGGCAGTCTAAGCTCAATTGTGTGATTTATCAAGGAAAAGGAATCAAACTCTCAAAACCAGAAACTGAAAGAAACAGTTCAGTTAAAAATCTAGATGCAATGAAGAAACAAACATTATGATTGGCTATCGTAAAATGATAGTGTTGGGATAGATGGGATTGTATTCTTATGTTTCAAAATTGTTCAAATTTTGCTATATATAAATAGCTTGCTTGTTTCTTATCTTTTGCATAATAAAATGGTTTTATTGTTAGAATCAAATCTACATCATTATGCGCTATGTTTCAGCGAAAGACTACTTTAACATTAAATAAAAACTAAAAATAAAAAGTATGATCTATCAAACCAGATTTCAGTCTAGGATCTCGCTTGTCCAATAACAATAGCAGCTGGGATCATCTACATTTAGTTATACGATGTCTCCGTGCTCCAGTCCATCAAGTGTGTCTCATCCAAGTATTGTAATTTTCACTAAGAGGCACAATTTTTCTGATCCCTCTCAGCCCTGCTCACTGACCCAGCCCTTTTGATTTTCCTTCCAGCCATGACACAAATTTCTAGCCTGTTTCTTCACTGTCTGCCTGCAGTCATCTGCCCCTTTCAAGCAAGTTTAATACTGTCTGGTTTCAGTTTCCCTTCAATTTCTCAGAAATTTAAAGTCACTGCCCATTCCCAGAATTTCTCTTTCAACTGTGGACTGTTTCTTAAAAAAAAACAAACTTTGCGACCAGAATTAAAGCACCTAACAAAACGTTTGACAACAGCTTGCACACTTTCCCATAAACAAGAAAGATTTCATCACAATGGCAACTGGATTATTGGATGCTCAATGCAATTTTCTTTACAGGGTTCTGGAAGCTGAAAATGAGGGGGAGGTGGCAGTTAGCGGTGTTATCACTGGACTGTTAAGCTCTGGGTACCCAGGTTCAAACCCCGCCATGACAGTTGGCGGATTTTGAATTCAACAGAAATCTGGATTCATAGCAAGATGGTTGATTCTGAACTATTTTTGGGCATTTAGGGATGGGCAATAAATGCTGGCCTAGCCAATGACACCCTAATCCCATTTAATTAACTTTAAAAAGCAGGACAAGTAAAAAGCCTTATTGAAGAATTCCAGAGAATTTAATACGTTAAATGTTTCCAAACACAAAAAATGGCACCTTCTCCCATATCCTTACCCTAGCTCCCACACACCTTGTTATCACATGGTCTGCTATTCCACACCACGCATTGTTAGAGACTAATTTTCCTCTAATAGCTATTTATTCTTCTAGGCTGATCGTTATCTATTCCTTGGTCTATCCAACTGTTGTTCTCTCTCTATCTCCACCTCATTTACTCCTTACCCCTTTCTCCTCCACCTCCCAACCTATCTTCTGCATAAAAACCAACGGTTTCTTAGCTACCATCATCTGAGGGTCACTGAACCCAAACTGTTGGTTCTGATTTCTCTCCACAAATGCTGCCAGATCTACTGAGCCTTTCAAGCAATTTGTTTTGGTTATAAAATACTGTGATTTATTTTTAGACAAAACATCTTACTCTTTAACCAAAAGGCACAAGCAACATCCTGTGCAACTACAATCAAACTGAATTACCCTTTGAGCCCCACCCCACCAACCTCCGGATCCAACGCATCATCCTCCGACACTTCCGCCATCTGCAATCCGACCCCACCACCAAAGACATCTTTCCCTCCCCACCTTTATCTGCTTTCCGGAGGGACAACTCTCTCCGTGACTCCCTTGTCCGCTCCACACTCCCCTCCAGCTCCACCACACCCGGCACTCTTCCCTGCAACCGCAGGAAGTGCTACACCTGCCCCCATACCTCCTCCCTCACCCCCATCCCAGGCCCCAAGAAGACTTTCCACATCAAGCAGATGTTCACCTGCACATCTGCCAATGTGGTATACTGCATCCGCTGTACCCGGTGTGGCTTCCTCTACATCGGGGAAACCAAGCGGAGACTCGGGGACCGCTTTGCAGAACACTTACGCTCGGTTCGCAACAAACAACTGCACCTCCCAGTCGCGAACCATTTCAACTCCCCCTCCCATTCCTCAGACGACATGTCCATCCTGGGCCTCCTGCAGTGCCACAACGATGCCA